AGTAACAGGAAGCTGGAAAATATTTCCTAAAGAAAAAACCACCGTCACATCTTCACCAAGAGAAGCCAGGGAAACAGATATTCTTGGGGCTTTGAATATGTTTGGAATATGTTTGCAAAATGCCTTGAAAACTGAGTCAGGGTACGGGGGTCGGGGGGAGGAGAAAAATCACGGAAACATACATAGCCGGTCGGAAGCTGTGGTCTGGAAATGATGGAAGTCATAATAAGCATTTGTCAAGGGTTTATGGTTGACTATTACTTAATCCTCATAACAACGCTTTATAAAGGTAACAATCATGTTCCTATTTTACAAATTAAGTGACAAAATCTCGTGGCCTTTGTGAGCTTCAGTTTTCTCATCTGCACCTTGGGGCCAGCGGAACTGATGGCAGAGATGACAGATCTGTGACGGAACCGGCCAGGCCAGGCTGTAGTGGCTGCTCCCAGAGAATCCCAGAGCTGTCTCTAGTGCAGACCAGCCGTGCTCTGGTGCACCTGCCGGAGCCTGCGGCCTCCAAGCCCTGGGTCTCCACTCCAGGAGAAGAGACAGCACATCACAACTGCTTTTTAGTCCCTCCGCTTGACAGTGACACGTCTTCTCTGCACCCATTCATTGTCTAGAAGTGTTGTGAGGGGCTGAGAAGCACTCTGTGCAGGAAGGGAGGACACTGGCTGTGGGCAAACACTAGCCACGTCTTGTACAACACCCGCTGGACAAGTGCTTCCTGAGTCCCTCCTCATGCAGGGAGCTGGGGCGTGAGCATGGAGCCAAACACAACCTAAACTTCCACTTCAGACAAGGCCAGGAGGAGGGGGTTGTGGCTGTGTGACCACGTATGTGGGCCAGGGTGGTATTTTTCAGAGGCCCCAGTGTCCCACCTTCTCATTCACACCCCTCTGTATTTCCCTCCTACACGGACACAGCTTGTCTGTGTGACCAATGGCATAGGGAAGAAGTGATGCTATTCCACTTCAGAATTAGATTAAAAAAGGCATGACATCTTCCTTCTTTGCATTCTCTTTCTCTCCTGACCCCTTCCTCTGGGGGAGTCAGCTGCTGTCAGGCAGGTCAAAGAGGCCGCAGCTCAGGAAGGAAGGCTCCTGGCACGCGCACGCAGGGGGTAAACCTGGGGACGGAATCCCTGCTCCATGCAGCCTGCAGATTGATATAAAAGAAAACGGGGGTCCTTTCCCCACTGGATGCTGGGGGTGGAAGCCTTACAATATCTCAAGGAAAAGAATTTTCTGAGTCTAGCCTGGGAGAATGAGTGATTTTTATTTGCATGGGTTTCCTTAGTCCAGTCATAGAAGTGGAGCTGGGGCCTCAGTGAAGCTAGAAGCAGCGCCAGTGGCCAGAGTTTATTTCCATGTTGCAGCCAGGGCCTCTTCAGCATTAAGCTGGCTGAAGTCCATTAGTCCAGTGTGTGGGGTCCTCATGGCCATGGGTAATGGGGGTGAATGCAAGGGAGCCCCACAAACCCAGAGTCACCCAACTCCCAGGAGTCCCAAGAGCAGTAAAAGCACAAGAGAGTGAACTCCTTTGTTCAGGGGAGTAAATAGCCCAAATTTTGTGCCCTTACAGTGGCCACACCCATGCTGACCTTTGTTCTCAGCTGTGACTGACAGCAAGCACCTTCCCTAGTCCCCCCAGCTTCACTGGGCATGCGGCTGCCTCCCCTCTGTTGGCCGCTGGGGAGTGTGAAACGGCAGTTCCTGGTGAAGCTCCCGGGTGACATGCCTGTAGTATCTGGCCTTCGCTCTGCTCCTTCCTGTTATTAATAACCAGCTAATGGCGCCAGGTCAGGATGATTGTAGCTCCAGCCATTGGGCTGTAACCTCACAAGAAGCCTTGAGCCAGAACAACGCAGCTCGAGGATTGCTGACCCTGAGGAACTATCTGAGATAAATGCTTTTGGTTTTGAGCTACTAAGTTTGTTATAAGGCAATAGGCAATACATACACATCTACATACGTAATATGTATATTTATATAAAATAGGGTATGAGACATGTAATGATATGTGACATCTGAGCCTCGGTCATAGAAAGGAGACGGCTCTGCTTGG